AGCTACAATCCCCAAACATGCGTAAAAATCGAAGCATTTGGAACTGTCCAGTGTAAGTCAGCAGTAGGTCGCCGGAGGTTTAAAGAAGCTGCAAAATGTTTTGAGAACATATGAGAAAACGAATGAGAAAACGCAAGCACATGGCAGTGCATTCAAGGAAGTTTGCAAGATGTATTCGGAAACTCAGCTACGACCTTCGCAGTGGTGATTCACAAATTTTTTAGGTCGATCTGTGTGCCGGCGATTCCTGAAAGATCGGGTAGAAGGAGACGAAAGATGACGGTAAGGGTAGAGGGCGAGCAAAGCGAGATAGATGAATTCTGAATATCCAATAGCCGCTACGGGTCGGCAGCTCAAAGCTGGAGAATCACTCACTCGAAATCGGGAATGAACCTTTCTGTCGAAATTGCATGAGTCATTCAGCTACCTCGCAGATTTGATGGAAACTCGGCTATCTACCCAAAGTGTGTGAGGCCAAAAGCAACGTTTCTGATTGGCTATCTCTTTATTGTACAGATGTGAAACATCTCACATTTGATGAATCATTGGTACCCCGATTGCATAAGCTGGGGATCGTGTGATTCAGCATTTAATGACAAAAGCAACCTGACGGTATGATTTGGCTAGACGACTTTGCGTCTCATTCGTTGACACCATTCGCCAGAAGTAGGAAACTCGAAGGTTGATTTATTAAATCTTATTCGCATGACAATTTTGGTACAATAGCCGCAAGTAAAAATGACGTTCCAAAATAAGGGAGATATGTCTTACTCAAAACCAAGTGTCTCATAGTTGGTTTCAGCTTTTTCCAAGCGGTTTCGTAAATTCGCTATCGCAAAACCCTTTGTATGTTGTAACAAGAATTATGGTTTCTACCAGCTTAAAGAGTCAGTAAATAAGATTTGAGTAGACTACAGTATGCCACAACGAAAGTCTCTATTTCATCGAATGCGCGGATTTTCATACTTGTGTGTGGAGCCAACAAAATTAATGATATTACGCAGTGCTCACCTGTTGCCTCTTCAAAGTCAATTCAGTTTCCTTCGTGAGGCATCGGTTGTTTATTCGCAAAATAGGCTATATGCGC